TTAATAAATACTTTTGATTTTGTTCAGACGAATTCAGCCCCATCCGATGCTTACAGATCTTTCGGCTCGCATACTATTTGGAGCTTTAGACCATTGCTTTATTTTATATAGGCTTATAAGTATTTTCTCTTTGTATCATGGGTATATTTACCTCAGCTTTCAAGAACACACTGATTACCAATTGCTTTCACCAATTTCACTGATCTCCAATTTCAGATATATTATGTATATTGCTGTATTGGAATTAATCTCGCTTGGTAGGAAGAAAATTCAATCTCTTCTATTAAATATTATTTTGATTCGTCAGAATTTTGTGTTAAGTTAAAAAATATTTTCAAAAATTCCAAATTAATTACAATGATCTTAAATCAGTAATGGAATTATGTGATTAAAGTGCCATTTCGTTATAAGCCATTATTAAATTATGGAAAAATTAGTACATTAACTTCTAGTTTTTGCCAATTTTGCCATATTATTTTTGAAAACAAAAAGTGAACAAAATATTTCTGAATTCAAAGAAAAATTTTCCATTTGTATTGTTCAAAGTCTTGATAATGAATGATACTAGTATTATGAAAATGCATTTGCATTTCTGTAATTACTTTTTATTTTAGCATTATATGTTTTTTCAGTTTTTGAAGCTATTCATATTTGCGTAATTCTTCTTTCGGCACGATTACTACTTTTGGTTCAACACTTTTCGTAAAAACAGGCGTAACTGACAAATTCTCTAGGATAAGCGAGGAAAATAAACGAGTAAAATAAGGTACATATAATTTTATTCAAATATTAATATACGTATTTATTTTTTATTTGTTTTCTGTTGTTTATACCAGTTTACACACACACACACAAACAAAACAAAAACAAAAAAAAAAAAAAAAAAAAAAAATGAGAGTGAGAGAGAATGCAGAAACCAACGAACGAGCTTTTAAAATGGAAAATGTTTTGCAGCCGAGTTTGTTGTTCAGTTTCAATGTTATTACTTTTTTAGTCCAAAGGGGCTTTGTCCCTGAGGGATTATTGTTTTCGTTTTGGCATTTTGGTTGAAACTTCCAGCTGTACCACTTTTCAAATCGTTGCCTCATATTTTATCTCCTGTCTTTAGTGCGAAAACCTAAGTACGAATGTGCATAAAGTATGTAGTTTCTCGCATGTGCTTAAACGCGGTTTAGGGAGCCATCCCTTTTGATGGCTAATCCTACCGATATGGGCATCGGACGGCCCAAATTGCCCTTGAATTGTTTATTATGCTTCTATTTTCCCTTCGCTCTGCTAACCTCCTTTCAAAGCGGCTGGCCCGTTGTACAGCCCCCATTTATTGCGCTCGCGAGGAACCGTGCCCGCTTCGTTGCCTTCTTTGGCGATATTCCTGCATTTTGTAGTGCGAGAACTTCTATTTATCCAAACAGGTAACCAAAACTGTTAAATGCGCTCTTCGGACGTATTTAAATCTGCACTTCGTTTTAAAAAAAAAATATTTTTAATGGTAAACCTTGTGGGTATAGACTATCGCTTTCCTGTCTATTATCATCATTTATTTAGTCGTTTATTTTGGTCTTTGCTCCGCTTACTTCACCCGTGATTAGGGAGGAACTCACGCTGGTTGTGTTTCTTCGTATTTAATTTTTTCGACGTTGCTCATCCCGGTGCACGCCGTACTGCCAATCTCCCCACGCGTGTATGAGGCCACCATTTTTTTTTTGGTTGGCTAGCGCCCGTTCCGGGGACGCCTTCTACGTAAGTGACAGTAATGTGTGACGGGCTTGACTGAAATCTGTTTTTAACGGCTTGTGGCAGATAATCCTGGAATTCTCATGTTTGGCCGACCTTTTATTATCCCTGTACATTAATTTCTTTACACAATATGACCAGAATGTGAACAGGCGAGGGATGACGCCTGTTTTCAAGGGCGTGTCGCCAGGCCTTGGCTTTATCCATGTAAATGCACTTATCTCTCTTTTTCACTGAATTTATTGCTGAGGCTTTATAGTTCGTAATATAAAAACCAATTATAAGCGCAGTTCTAAATAATAATTTTAAAATATAATGTACAGGTTTGACCGCCTTTTCAAAAAGATTTTCTTATTATAATTAAATTATGTATTGAAAATACAAAGAGACACACATACGTATCTGTTATTACGAGAATGAAGATTCAATGTATGAAATAGGGCCTTTGAAAATAGGATTCAACCTTATTTCTTATGAATGGACGAATATCTGTTTTTGTTCATACACTTATAATAGGGAATCTAAGTGTTTAACGTAAGATATAAGCATTGATTAACATTTCATATAACTACTTCTAATGAGGCTTTTAAGAGCAACCCCTTAATTTTGATCGCAGCGCTCTTTCAGAGTAGGATAGAGCATAGAATCTACTACCTTTAAACAATGGGATTTTTTTAACACACTGTGGCATGACAGTGCCTAGTAATAATAGTTTTAGCGTCACTAAGAATCATTTTCTGGATTTCTCATATTGATTTTTTCCCAAAGATATTAAAACGCTGCAATTGCACGAGTATGAGCAATGCATAATACATACATATATAACGTAAGCATACCATAAAGAAAAATGAAACCCCAACAAAAGCTGATCGACTGCTATTAACCTCTAAAGAGGGGTTTATCAGAGGGAAAATGGTAATTAAATCAATTAAATTCCATTTAATTGATTTTAAATTATTTATTTACTGTAACGATTTATTACTAATTGTAATGGATTGGAATATTTGAATATGAATTAGCTGAATATTGCAGAAAAATATTATGATTGCGAGAATAGGAAAAAAAAACAGTTTTGAATATTACTTTCTTATAGAATGCAGATGAATTCATTTTTACTGAAAATCAAAATTAGTAGCTAGTAGCTAATAATCTGTCCTGTATCGAGCACTTTAGTTCAGTGATCCGTATTAATGTTGCACTTTTTTAAAAAAAATTAAATGCTTCAATAATAATTAGAAAAGGGCATAACTCTCTTCTTACCCTTAAATTCTTCAATAAAAAACTGCATTTTCAGCTATAATTAAGTGAAAATAAGTTTCTAAATATAATTCAAAGCATGAAAAATAAGGTACATAACGGCTTGGAAATGGAACTAGCATTGAGATTTTCTTAAGAAATATGGTGAAGCTTAACAAAAAGTCTATGAAGCGAAGTAATTCCGTAGAATATTTTCTAACTCTTTATGATTAAATTCACACTCAATTATACTTTATAACCGACATGTAAATTAATGATTTAATGTATATGCGTGGATGTGTGATGTGTGTGTGTGTGGCTCACTAGCGGCTGAGCTGTAAAGTCGTTGAACTCTGGCAGGTCGATCCGGGGTTCGAATCCGGATCGACGGGGATGGCTGTATTGGCGTTTTCGAGGTTTTTCCCCATGTGTAACGTGCATAAGAGTCAGTTTTTGCTTAGAAAGTTCTCCACGAGGCACCCTTACTCTTACGCAAATAGCCATCGAATGCTTTGCTATAATCAAACAAATCAGACCAAACAATAGATATATAAACATAAGTAGCTTAACAAACTGCTATATTTTATGTATACTTATCAAGTAATAGTTTACCAATATGTATGATTATTAAAAGAAAGGAAAAGTCGGAATTTCCTAATTGATTGTATATAATGTAATCCCTATGACGGCCCTAACAATTCTTTCTCACTTAAAGTCGTAACCCAAAAAGAGAACAAGTAAAATTAAACTTCAGATACGTATACAATACTGAATCTAATACAAAAATAGAAAATATAAAAATAAATTATATATGTACGAAACCTAACTAACTATTTTAATTGATATTACGTAAATATAGGTATGGTAATGAACATTGTATAATAAAGATATTTTATACCTTGTTCTATATTTGGTTCCATTTATATATACCTATGCATAGATATATATAATTTAAGGATTCCATTATAAGATTATAGTAGTTAAGTTAATACTACTACATATAAAACCACAAAAGTGCATCCATAATGTATCTTTTCAGTATTATTTAACTTAATTCTTAAGGAATTTTCTGTAGTCTAGTTTGCGTTATTTTATTCATAAGTCTGAAATAAAAACAACTGCTGTTTATACGTCATTAGAAAATTAAGCAAAAAGCAGCGACCACAATGTAATTGAGAAACAGTCCTTAGCCGTGAAAAGGTTGAAAGCCATTCGGTTATGACTATATCTCGCATACTCAGTTTACTTCGCATACATGGAACATAGCATTCGAAATGAAAAACTCAATATTTACTACAAATTCATTCGTGTAACAAATATCTGTCTTTCTACACCTATGGCTTTAAAAAAAGATGTTATTTATCTTACAGTTTATCGTTAAGTAATACATTTTCATTGTACAAAATTGCATTCATTCGAAGAATTCAATTTGTATTTTCCTCTGTATAAAACTGAATGTAGAGAAGTTAGATGTTTAAACAACCCCCACATTTTCAAAAGATTTGGAGCAAGATCGTCCCCTCTTTGTCAGCTCTTTTCCTGAAAAAAGGGATTGTAAATTTACGACCTGACCGTATATGGGGGTATTTCGGTCTCCCACCCCTGTTCCACTACCACAAACCTGTCTAGAGAACTTTGGCTTGCCGCCTATGTAGAGTGCCCTCGTGCTATACGGATGGTATACATTTACAAATACAATGCGTTCTTCGGGATTCGAATCCGGGCTCTTCTGTAGAGCAGTCAGCCTCGCTAACCACTATCCCGGGTGGGCGGCGGAAATCCGTAATAAAATTTATAAACAAAAAATGTGTAAAAGAAGAGGGGGGATATATACATGGTTTAGAAAAAGGACGATAGAAAGAAAAGACTAATGGAAGTAGGTTAAAGTAACGCAATAATTTAAAATAGAAGTTTACAATATTTAGACCATAATTATATATTTTGTGTATACTTGGTTTACGTGAACAAATTATGTAAGCTGAAGATACTCCAGAGCAACTTGTTAGTGTTGTATAGAAAATAAAACAAAATTTAGTAATATTTAAGTTTATTTCGCGACATTTATCGAGAGTAAAATACAAAAGATTGTATGATTAATGAACATAAATACACAAATTATAATTCATATTTTATACAATATCAAATAATTCACTATAAAAACATATCATGTTTATGCACATATATCATGCAAGTTTAATACATGTATGTATCTACTAAATGTTATCAGAAACAATTAATGTAAAATAAAAAAATGACTATAAGTATACATTCATCTTCCATTCAAGGTCGGGCATTATTTAAAAGAAAACTAATATAAAAATAAAAACTGAGGTAAAGCACATCACCGGAATATTGAACAGAACTTGTGATACAAAATACATAAATCCACACTACATCTTGGCATATAATGTTTTCAATTAAAAAAAATGCAGAAGAATTATGTAGCGAAATTTCTTCAAATTAGAAAATGAGTACCATTGTTAGTTTAATAAAATATTTTAGCAGAAAACAGTTCTAAAAATACTTTCTTATTAAAAGAAAGTCATATTTTTATATGTTTATGAAATTAAGCTATCGAGTACATGTTGCATTACTCAATTCTTTTCAGAAAATTCTCATATATTTGTGCATGTTTTTATTTAATAACTTATATTTCTTACTTTATAATAGGTTGCGTGTACAGATACTTGTTTTCAGTTAACAGTTTGGAATAATCTTGACTAGTAAAATAGTACAGTGCAAACGTTATAGGCCTGTACACTTACGTACTACTTCTACAGTATCAATGTCACTAATGTAATTATGAATGATTAGATTTAATGTCGCTGATTATCATACAGTTTATTAAAACAGCAATTTTAATTTTATCGGCAAAATTTAATAATAGAATTTTGTTTTACTGGAATTTGAAACAGAAATGAATTTTATTCTATTTTGTTAAAAAATCGTTTGGTCTTCTCTTTATTCTATTGGGTGAAAAAGAAAGAATACAGAGAAAACCAAACGATTTTTTTACCAAATATGCAACATATGTGTTAGAAATATCTGTTACTAATTTTAGTAATGACGCAAATATTTATAAAATTGCCAGTTGGATATATTATAAAATTAAATGAATTTAAAATTTATATCAATTAGGAATATTTTTAAATTAGAATATATTAAAAATGTACTTATAAACTTTTAAAGAAATTTAATGTGTTAAGTAGTGGTAAGATGATCAAATGTGATTTATATATTAAATATAATTAAAAATTATGATAACATGCTTTGCCGAATGGCAACACTTTGAAAAGCAATCATTCCGAGATTGTGTAAATAGATCATACTTTACATTCCGTGCGTTAATAACACATGTCAAGGTAAGTAAATGATAAAAATATCAAACGATCAGAAACATGACGATAAACAATTTTGAAAAAGTAAGCCACAAATGTTTCCGACGTCAGTAAAGTGGAGAGAAAAATTATTCTTTGCAAATTAATAGATAAAAGAGTTTGTTGTTAGTCGCTTTTAGAAGAAAAAGAAGTTATGGATAAAGAAGAACAATTCTTGCTAGATTTAGTTAATCTGTTAAATTTTATGTAATTCTTTTTACATTAAATGCTGTATTTTTTCTTCTGTGTGTTTGAATGTTTTCAGTAGATTAATTCAATGTGAAATACTCATTCTTATTAAGTTTAGTTCTCTGTGTTTTGCTTAATGCATATTAACTATTGTTTATGTTTACTGAACTAGCTAACTTTTCACAATTTCTACTGTTATTTATTGTTCATAGATGTTAGATTTAATTTGGTTCTACTTTCCTACGTAATATAAAAGTAAACTTCTTAATGTTGCTAGAGAATAAAAGTATACGAAATTTTGTGAATTAACTCAAACAAAATTTAATATAATCATACATACTAAAGCTTACAATTGTATAAATGAAACAGCTGTTAAAACTGATTTATTTAATTACATTTTCCCTTTTTACGTTTATTTTGGAAATAATTAAAATAACTAATGATGCGTATTTATGGAAAGAATATGGTATAAAAAACTACTGAAATTCAAATGTCTGGTTTAATTACTTATTCTGTTGCTGAACACAAACGATTATTCGTATTATAAGTAATCTACACTTAGATTTTGCCAATGTAATTAAAAATGCCATTTTAATTTAAAAAATTACAATAACTATAATTCATATATCATAATTTTTTTGCGCAAGCTAAAACACGCAGTTCCGTGTGAATCCAAAATTATTTCCACTGTTTTTTAAAAAAATATTATTGCTTACAAACACAAATTTTCTTTTAGCAAATTATTTGATATACCAATAAAAATTAATTGATGTGAATCGAACAAAATACCTCATAATGCACTCACATTTCTTTTGCTTTTAAAGTCAAAATAACTAAATTATGTACATTTTCATCTTAATCCTAAAGCAGGATTAAAAGCATACATTTTCCCCTATATTTCTTTAGTGATAAATAAATTAATATATTTAAGAAGTTTATCAGACTGATAAATCTTTCGAGCAAAACAGTGCTAGGTGCAACTTTTAATTTTCATATTCCAAACTTAAAGGAATTATCCATCAGTCCACGAGAGTAAAAGAATTGTCACAAGTCTTTCACCTTCTGGTGAATGACGCGAGTGATAATCGTTTCATGCAAACAACTATACGACAGGTCTCTTCTAGATTCATGCTGCTGGAGACCTCTTCAGTTTTTCAGTCTGACAAGATTCTTAGATGTTGTTTGACAATCACGAATTTGCCTGAAAAATCTATTTTATGAATGTTGGACAACGAAAACTAAAATGAATAACTGCCTTATTTTGGATTATTTTTTAACAACATATTTTCATTACTAAGCATTACTTACATTAGCAATACTCTTTAACCGAAGGGATGGCCAATTTCCAGATCTTCAGGCAGCAATTCTGTTGATGTGGTGTTAGACGATGGACGGTTTAAAACAGATTGGAAACATTAACTGATAGAAAATGCCTTAGAATAAGTAGTTCGATGGGGTATATTCATACTGATGCATTCAACTAATGGCACATGATTAAGTACCCAAAGAAGTAACCCTGTTTCTAGTACCAGCGGAAACATAATTTGCATTATTTTCACAGGTCTGTGCTGATCCAGTTTTTATAAAACTAATTAAAAAAATAAAGTTTCGTGGCATGGTTACATCATTTTCGCATTATTTCAAACAATTACAGTTTTCATAAATCCACTGAGCTAGAGTGAAGCAGTTCAAATATTCCTTCATCAAATGAATTCAGATTGAACTGTATAATGGTATCATCGTGCACTGTCTTCTTGCCCCTACTTTTCACATAGTAGTATTGAGAAAATGCAGTTGTGTTCATATAATTCTTCACCGTGTCAAATAAATTTTCAAACAAATTCGATGTAGTGATCTTTTCCTAGTCGAAGGCATAACACGTTTGATTGTACTATAACTCATTTCATTTCAAGGTATTTATATCTAAAAATAATTTCAAACCTTACTCAAACTGAACTTACCGAGAATCTTTAGTGTTCATAGTGAAATCAATATCTAACCATTTATGCTTTGCAATGATAACTAAACAGATTGCAGATGTAAGGAACACTGTATGTTGGCGGATGCTAGTACCCATTCCAATAAAACTGGAGAAACAGGGTGTACATTCTGAGAAAAATGGGAAGAACATTTCTTAAGAACTCACTAATGTCAATGCACACAAGAGTTTCTTTGGAATAAATAGCAACATGAAAATGACGATGCTATATATTATGGCTCTATTAATTAGATGTTATTCTGCCAGACCATTAAATGATTACTAAACTATTTCTGTTAATTTGATGGAAGATTTGCGGATATCGCAGGGACAAATCCAACCTCCAAATGCCTTTTCTAATTCACGTGCTGCAGCAATTGTAACTCTGTCTTTATTCAAACCACCAATGACTTGTATGCCCAAAGGTAAGCCTTTGCCTCCAAGTCCTAACGGACACTGCGTGACCGGCAAGCCTAGAATGTTGAAAATAACGCTGTAACCCACGTTGAAAGGACGGAAGAGCATTTCCATGTGATAAGGAGCAATGTCAGGATATGTAGGGTAGAGGAAGATGCCATCATCGCCGAGAAGCTCATTGAATTCAGCCAACAACTCGTCTCTCATGTGGAAGAAAGGTTCTGCCAGTTTGGCGTCATAATTCCTGATGTAACGATCTAATATTGCTAAGCAGATGACAGGGAAAGTATGCTTGGATTTGCCAGCCATGGACTTGAAAACTTCTTTGCTGAGGTTGAGTCTTTTTTGGTAACCCACAATTTCATTCGACAGTTGTTGATCGTTAAGAGCCTCAATGACGCAGACCCAAGTTTCAACGGCGTCTTGCAGTCTTTCTTTAAAAATCTTTTGCGGTTTCTGTTCGCAGATGCTCTCGAAGTGGGCAACAGCCTAGAAAAATACAAAATCGGTGTTGAGATACTTTATTGAAATGTAATTGTTGCTGTTATTTATGAAAACATAATAAATTCGACTTTTATTTTTATTATTTGCTGCTTTTTTTGGAGTGACGAATGACGATTGTGTTTGAAAATAATCCGAACGATGGTTTTGAAATATTAGACATCATGACGGTTAAAGGAAAATTTGGAAAATTCTTTTTAATTAATTATGTTACGGAATGAAAAATCTTAAAAACCATAATTTTAATTTTGTTTTGCAAACAAGTTGCCTTCGAATTGTTCACTTAGACATTACTGGCATCTAACAGCGCCTATCTTAAAGTAATACGGGATAAGGAATTGTTTCTTGAAGAAAATATTACCTTAAATATTTGTGAAATTCTGATGTGCTATTCTAGATTAAGAAACAAAAAACTGTTACTGTCCTAGTTTACTGATTTTTATGTAAATCTCTTATTACTAAGGGAAGAGTATTCCTTATTTAATGAAAATTGAACAGATACAAAAGTATGTTAACGATACTAAAGCAACAAGAATCAGCGTAAGTTCCGTAAATTTGCAGGCCTATTTAAATATAAACGATCTTCTTCAGCTTAAATGAAAAATGTCGAAAGGAAAGCATGTAACTTGAGCTACTTAATGTATTGCACTTACACCTTGAAATGAATGACAGAACAGGAAAAAACATTGTTTTTTTTAAAAAAGAACGATCATTTTCATACAAATAATTTATGCAAATAGGAGAATTATTTCGATACGGAAGTACTATTTATTATTTTATTTTATTGTTTTATTATACTATATTATTATTTATTATTTTATGACTTATTATTCTTTATTTATTGTTCTTCTTGATTAATCAAAGCATTAAACCATTTGCAATAACTTCTTCATATCAAGCCTGAAAAGATTTTCATAGGAAAGCACCCTTTTTACTTCGTTGCACGAAGTAGCGAAAGTATTGTAATCGCGAAAAATTTCCGAATATCATATTTGAAAGGAAATATCTATTTTGACCATTCCCGAATCCATTTCGACAACTTTTTTGCATGATGTTTGAATGTACTGGCGGAATAAAAGACTCTTTTTTTTTTTTTTTTTTTTTTTCAAAACGGATTAAAAAGAGGATTTAACATGGATACAAAATGCATTTTTTTCGTGATGTACTTATGTAACTGGCATAGCTCAGAAGCTGTTAACCGTAGAACGCTCAAATTTTGTTTATAGGACTCTTATAACATCTAGTTGTGCGCCTCCTCTTTTTTATTTAAATACACAGAACAGACATATATATATATATATATATACTCACCATCTTACGCGACATAAAAGTTCTTACCCGAGTTTTATTTTCGCTATCGCGGTCGTAGTCATACACTTCCATATATTTCCATTTACAGAAGTGGTTTAAATGACAAAAATATTTATGTTTTAGTAATGCTAAATTAAAAAAATAAGTTCCGAAAAATAACGAAATCTAACTTTCAATGCGGTCTTCCGATTCCTAAACGTGCTAATTGGGAAAGTTTTATCCTCCTTATGTAAAAATAAAATTATAAGAAATTTGACTACCGTGCGTTTCAAAATTTGAAATTTTTTATGTAATTTTCAACTTGCCTTGAAGAATCGGTTAATCAAGTTAGAAAAATTCGAGTAAATAAGTTTAAATGAAATGCAGCAAAAAATGTGCATAATTTAAGGGTGCTCATACACCTTAAACCCCTTATGATCTTCGAATATAGGACTGTTTCATGAATTGAGATATTTTATTTATTTTAAAAGCAATTACTTCCAACTTTTCACAGCTGGCTACATAATATAGCTGCTTTGGGAACAAGTAACCAGAAAAATTGTATTACCACAAATATTTTTGTAATTTAATCCGCTTTGTGACAAAATGTTTCGTTATGTTCACCTGCGGCAGATATTTAAAAATGTAATGGAACATATTGAAATTTGATGGAATGTTTATATGGGCACTATTTTTTCACTGAACCAAAATTGATGAATATTTTAATATTAAAAAAATTTATGTGCAAAAAATTCACCATTTTTAAAAAATACATTGGTAAACCTCAATCCAATAAATAAAAATTAACTGAATTCTTAGAATTTTCGGTTCACAGTAGTTTCCAAATGTTATAAAATTTATATATTAAATATGAAATTAAATTATGCAACAGAATGTTTTATTTGGAAGTATTTATTTAAATAAAAATGTATTATTTGTTAAATCTTCATTTATTTATTTTGCTAATATGGATTTATGCAATTTTTTTTTTTTTTTTAAATTTTAGACTTACTTTCCTTAAGGCCTTTTTCATCTCTCTCGACACTGGAGTTCGGAAAGGATAGCCGCCGTCATCTTCCATGTAAAATACCCTCAGTTTCTTGACATTCACCTATAGAATATTAAAATCAGTTAGCATTCTTAACATTGGGGTTATTTCACCTATAAACACTCAAGTAACCCCATACGCTTATTTAGTTTACATTATCCATATTAAAAAGAAAGAGGAAATTTATTTAAAAATTAAACTAATTTTAGATTTCATTTAAGGAAAAATAATCAAATGCACTCTATCTGTCTGTTTATCAAAATCTTCATCGCCATCACTAACATCTTCTTCAACACAATCATCTTTCATTTCATCGTAATCTAAAAAGAAATGTAAGGCAATTTTTGCACAGATAATAACTAATTATAACTTACAAGATGTTTAATTATGTGCAGTTTATGGAAGAAGTAGTTCCTTCACTTAGGATTTTAATCTTAGCAAGTTCGGAATTTGATGCAAAAATTCAAATGGATTTCAGCGCCGTTGGCAGTGATATAAAGAAACATATTTATTCTTTTCTACTGGACGCATATACATTTTCTTATAAAAAAAAGAATGATTCTATGCGTTTTTAGAAACATCTTTCTATAATACTGTACGTATTTTATCTTATACACATTTTCTATATTAAAAAAATAAAATAAAGATATACATTATTGTGAAATGCATGTATTGCTTTTAATCGCTCACTTCGTTAAGCAGGTACAGACAGATCAAATTAAAAAAGACCTTATGTTTTACCAAATGGCACCACTCTGAAAAGTGGTTAATATCGAGGTGCGAGATAAATTAAAGATTTTATATTTAAAGCAATGACAATATTTGCCAAGGAGAGGAGAAGATATATTGACAGGTCAGAACTATCATGAAAGAAACATTTCCGGTTATCTTTGTTGATAGTAAATCTGATTCATTGATCCACGTGAAGTCCTTCTAGAAGTACATTTTGTTCTTCATCTTTTGAAAGAAACACAGTTGCAAGAAAAACTTTTCCCCCAGCCTCGTAAAATGTCTCATCATTGAGCACGATTGTTTGAGCAACCTTGCATTCAAATTAATGATGAAAGAAACGTGTTTCTCGAGAAAATTTCTTATAGAATCACGCTTCGCTATATGTGATAACCATATAACGTAGAGCAACGCTCCTACAATTTTGGAAAGACTAATTTAAAGATATTTATATTATAAAAATGCGTTAAAATACATTTAAAAATGAATTATTTTACTATTAATTAACCGACAAATGCATTCAAAGTTAAATTGTTATTTTTATTTAGATAATGGTAAAGCATGCAAAAAATAAAATATGTGTTTTTTTTTCCGTAACTGTATATTCCACAAAATGTGTCAAAATGCGTATTATGCGTAAATTCATATGCCAAAAGGTTCACTGTGGAAGAGTAAAAAAATATGTTTCAAAATCTAGATTATAAAGTTTGTAATTTTGAATACCAATAAGTTAGAATGAAATGATATGATGCGTATGTGGAGTGCAAGACGTTTGCAAATTGTCCCATAAAAATTATGCGACTGAACAGCTCTTCGCCCATTGATTGTAAGCATAAAACTCCAATTAAAAAAATCAATTTAGTTAGGTAGGGTCTCAAACTAAGCCAATTTTGGTTTTTTAGCACATCTGATAGCAACAATATATGGAGCTTAAATTTTTATACAGAAAAAAGGTAATTGAGATTGTAAAGGAATATAAAATTGGGTACTTACGCACTATCCCGTCAACCATAAAAGTTGGTTACCCCTGAATCATGAATGTTGGTGCAGATCCATTCAAAGTTGCGCCAGTCGTACCTGCCGAATTCTGTAAGAACTGACGCCTTTATATTTTATAAACAATCATTATTCTACCTGCTTCGTTTCTGAGTTTTGTAAAAAGACTTATGTCAATTTCTAGTATTTTGTTATGCTTTCCGATTTTACCAGAAGCTCTGTTTAGAGCGCTATGAGTATAAAATTCCCGTAGGTGCTGTAGACTATTACTGTTTTGTGGGCTATATTCAGCTGAATACATACAGTCTATGAATGCATACTTTTTTGATGGTAAGATTACATAACTTTGAAAATAATCCATTCCTTGCTGTTCTGTAGAAGGCAGATCCCAAATTTGAATCATTTCTTTCACAATGCAAGAGAAATGACAGTTAATTCATGTCCTTGTTCATAAAAATGAAAAATGGCTTACTGATAACCAGTCAGGATTACATCAAACGCAAGCGCAGATGTTATCAATCTGCTGGTTAAGTAACATTTATCCATTACTGGCACTAAATCGCGCTGCTTGTCGGCACTTTCACGGCAGACGAGATAATGCATAAGTACCGAAATTGTAACGAGAAAAATATTTTCAGTCGAATTAGTAAAAAATGTGTCTTAATGCGATCGAAATTAACA